GGCCATCCATCCATCAGCTGGCGGCTACCGATGACGGAACAGGCTGGGAGAATAGCTTTTTTTTTCACAACTATCTCCCCCATAGCTGGCGATTTCGGATCCCGGAACTTCCGCCTCACTGTTTGAGAAGTCGAGATCCAACCCTTTCGGAATGAGGCTGGACGACGTCGGGAAACTGTCATGGAAGGCATTGCAGATTTACCAACGCAGGTAACAGGCCCGTATACTGCGTAAGCTGCACCTAGGACCTCCCATTTCGTGCTTTCATTGCCCTTCTTGCTGCGGTGGGCATGCACTGATGCAGCGCCAATTTGGTCCGCTGCTATGTTGTCGTGGCTCCATGGATGGAGGGACCTCGCGGGCTAGAACTGACTTTTGATCCTCAATCATTAGCCCTTCTTAAGACGCACGCAACATGGGGAGAAGTACGGCCTAAACCTGATCGTAACTCCGTAGTCGTAGGTCAAGCATGCTTTCGCCCAAGTGGAGTGGAATAACAAGGAGGAGAGAGGGGTCGGCGGGAAGTTGTCAGTACTGTTAGCTACTAACTACCTACTACAGAGCGGACGTTGGTTGGCTTCCAAGCGAGGCTTCTGGCACACTCCTGAAAAAAAAAAAAGACAGCAAATTACTAGATAGGTACATTTCATCTCCAGGAACAGACATGCTGGGGCCAAGAGAACATCTGACCCTTCTCTCTATCTCTCCGTCCCTCTTCCTCTTCCTGGCGCCGTGGAGCTGCATGTGGCCATTTCGAGATCGTTCAGCATACGAAGCGCCCACCCCAGAAGCGACTAGATGAGCCGATGTCTTAGTTCGCAGGATTTTACAGTGTATATAATGAAAGGGTCTGGATCTAATCCAGGAGGTTTTAGTGCGCTGACAGTTGTGTTTAGTCAGTATTTATTTAATCCCTGCCCTTGAGTTTCCTCCAGTCGCTCAATGGAAACAGACCCGTCAATGTGTTCGGAGTGGTTTACACCATAACTACTACCTACACTACAATGGGTATATTCTTTTATTTCCTCTAGACACACGATTCAATGGACAAAGACCAAGCCCGACGAATGATGCGACCAATTGCCAGAGTTGCGGTGTGACTGTAAAGTTTATCAGCCGGTTGTACTTCAACTCTGTGGTTGGTCGTGCTTTATGGTGGTACAATCATATCTCTGCTCCATACGATTAAGAATAGCAGAAGGGGTGTTTTCGTTGCACCCTTGGAAGCGAAGGTGGTCAGGCTGGCATGGATCTGCATAATTACAGCCGAGAGAAAACGTAGGGCTGTTGAAATGCAAGTATATTATACGACGCATCACCCAAGGAGCCAAAATCGACGGTGAAACTCGAGGGTGAGATAGTAGGAGAGACCGCGGGGGCGTGCCCCAAGAGTGAGGCGCGGTGGCGAATGAATTGGGAGATAGTGAGGCATATGAAGCAAGAACGCAGGGAGCGAGAGACTCGACAAGTGGCGAGGCAAGAAATTCTATATAATTTTTTTTTTCATTATCATGACTCGTAGAGGGCTAAATGCCTGAGTTTTTGATCGATATTATCTCTAAAGGCCTGTGGTTTACTGAGGGGGGACGTAAGGATGCACGAGCATGTCACTGAACCTGTAAAAAAAAAAAAAGAAAAATAAGTCAGTGACCGCAGTTAGAAGGTCAATACAAAAAGACTTACTTTTCCAGCTTCTCCTTTCCTCTGACCTCTTCCACCAACAAAGGCATCCGCACCACGTTGAAGTCCTCGTACAGCTCCTCGATCTGTTCGAGATACTTCTTCTGCATCTTGCGGCGGGCATTGCACTGCTCACACTGGCTTCCTTCTTTGGGGAAGAGCAGCTGGTTGACAACAATGGCATGGGTGTCGATGCTGTAGCTGGTCAACTCTTGGATCATGCGTTCGGTCTCGTATAGCGACAGGAATTCGGCAATGCAGACGCAGACAAAAGTCGTGAGGTCGGCATCTTTGAACTGCGAGTTGACCTCGCTGATCGTCTCGCGCAGAGACTCCATCTTCTGCAAGAGCTCATCCATGTTCTGGCCGCCGGGCAAACCACCGCGGGATCCCAGTATCGAGTTGAGCATCGGGCCAAACTGCGAGGACAGCTGCGACAGCTTCGCCAAAGCCTTCTCAAGCACCGTTGGGAACTGCAGGAAGCGGAGCGTGTGACCTGTCGGCGCGGTGTCGAACACAATCACTTCGTAGGATAGCGACTTGACTTGTTTGAGAACTTCGGCGAAAGACATGGCCTCATCGACACCGGGAATCTAAAAGAGGAGAAAAAAGTCAGTATATTGTAATAAACCAAGAATAGACGAGTAGAGCAGTGTACACTGAAAGCCAGGTCCTGCATCATGTTTCCCATGCCCATGCCCGCGAGAGGGTCATCGTTCTGTCCTTCACCTCCCGCTAGAAGATCCTGAAGACTCCCGTTGGGATCGATCTCCATGGCACTCAAATTGGTGTAGCCATCAATGAGACGCGCCTCCTTGCCAAACTTCTGCCCGAATGCATCGCTCAGGTTATGCGCGGGGTCGGTGGAAATGAGCAGCACCGACTTGCGGACCTTGGCCAGTTGGATCGCCAGAGAACACGAAGTGGTCGTCTTTCCTACACCTCCCTTACCCCCGACGAAGATCCAGCGCAGTGTCTTCTGGCTCAGAATCGACTGGAGCGTAGGCTCCATGGCGTCGTCGGCGGGGACAACAGCGGTCGTAGACATGGTAGGCGGGCGACTAGAGCCTGCTGGAATCGCTGGTTTTGGGAAAAAGTAACAGCAGACAGTAAATAACGCAATGAAAAATTACAAAGCAAGTAAGTATGAAGCTGAAACAGTGGTGAAGACAAATTATTCCTGTCAAAGGCCACACCGCGCCTGGTGATTGTTGGCTCCCCGCAAGCGCCAGGTCGGGCCCGCTTGGAAGTTTCCCGAACCCACGAGGCAGTTGGACCATGAGATGGATGGACGCCAGACGATCGAAGACACTCAATACGAGTGTTCTACCGAGACCAAATTTATCTATGAGATGGGCTCCAAGGAAGAGAGCGTGTTTTTTGCGCACGCAAAGTGGCACACAATCCCACCACCGCCTCGCTCCTTGGGGATTCTCTTGCCCGCTCACTATTCCCAACACCGAACCCAGATTGCGAGGAAATAGATATACTGAACGAAGCGTTTACACTTGGTGAGGACAATAGACTCCAGATAACACAGCACCGCTCGAGTCTTTTTCACATTTCCTATCAAAAGAGCAGATCCAGATCTAGCAACGCCTGCCCCACCTGAAGGTCTACTCCGTAACAGCTGTCGGTGCTCTCCGACGAGGAGAAACATAAAAGAAGATGACTTGCTGTTCTTAGTAAATTTTGTTTTATAACTGACAAGAAGCTTTTTTTTGCCGAGTGAATGGACACAGACAACCAGACACCTCACCCGGCGATTCAGGTGGGAAGAATTACTGACCGTCTTGCTCTTTACCAACGCCAGCTGGAACAGAGTCCCAAACCCTCGCTCCCACCGTCTGCACCGACCTTGTCTTCTTCTTCTTCTTCTTCTTCTTCTTCTTCACCGCCAGCAACACAGCACACATCTATACCAATGGCTATGGCTCGGGACCCTATTACCTGTCACGTTCTCAACACGCTGACAGGGTCGCCGGCTGCAAACCTCCCTGTGACGTTGACGCTCGTGTCTTCTCCTGCTTCCCAAACGCAGAACCGCCTCGAGTTCCACGCCGTCACCGATTCAGACGGCCGAGTCAAGACCTGGACGCCCAAATCGACCGGATCTGGTACGGGGGTCGTTGATATCCTCGGCGCTCTTCCGACAGGGGACAGCCGGACAAACTGGCAGCTTAGTTTCGCGGTGGGCGCGTGGTTTGAAGCGCAGGGGGTGGAGAGTTTCTGGCCTGAAGTGGACGTCAAGTTCACCGTCAAGGGACGCGGCCGTGAGGGAGAAGATGGCTGGAGACATTATCATGTTCCTGTCCTGCTGGGGCCATGGAACTATTCCACTTATCGGGGGTCGTAACGTTCCTCCTCGTGAGCGTTTAGACTCATCAAAAGTACACACGATTCATTGATTTATCTCCATCGAACTAAACTGAAACTATTGGAAAAACATCCCCAGTCTGTCGTTCTCGTACTCATTCCATCGATAAGACGATAAGCTAAACCGCTACGTCAGAGCGGACTGGCGCATGTACTCAAGACCTGGGGGACCCGTCCTACGAAGCTTATATTCTTTGGTTATGTTCCAACCGGCTCTTGCATATCTATCTTGGTTGACCCGCTCAGGGGCTAGAATCTAGAGCTCAGGCATAGTCCTTGCTAGGATCGCCTAATGGTTTTCAGCATTCTATATCAATACTAGGTAGTAAGTACTAAGTACTGGACGTCTCTACAGACTTGACTAGATGATGTTGATCAAGAGTATGAGTATTGTTACATGCATATGTTGTGCATGGAGTACCAAAGTAGGTACTAGGTACTCCTGTACCAGGTACTTCCTAGGTGCTCCTACTTGTACTCTGTCCTGTACTCCCGTACCTGGCAATAATAGAATGTCTTCAGGCAATTGAACGCCTCAGGCATACAGTCAGGACCGGTCTGGGAGTGGAAATTCATGAAGAAATTGCGTCATTGCAGCCTAGCCCAATCAACAGCCAGGCGGATGGCACTCTGGCCGGTCTCGTCCACTATCGACATTTCTGATTGGACAGAATGGGGCCTTGTGTGAGTGGGCCGGGAATTCAATCCCGTGAATGGTCTGTTTGCAGTGGGGCCCCAGGCCTGGCGAGTGGCCCCCGGGCCAATCCGGCATTCAGTAGGATTCCTGTCGTCGTCACCGTGATCTCATCTGCCGTCTGCCGTCTGCCGTCGCCAGTTTCTGAAGACTGAACAGTGAGATAGCATGTCGCTTGTAGAGAGTGAACTACCGAGTAGTGTTTGTAACTAGGTAGTATGCAGAAATAGATATATATGATTTATTGCACGTCTGGATTTACTTGTATCGAGGAGTGGCTAAAAGATCGAAGTATCCTACGGAGTAAGTAAGGAGACGAGAACACTCTATCCTACCTACCATCGGGAATACCAGTAGAATAGATTGGAAACCACCTAGAATACCTGAATACCTAAATCTTGATATTTTCCGTTTCTTCTTATTAAATAACTAACCAATACAACTGCTACCTAGGTACGTGGTACGTTGCACGGTTCGGTGACAGGACGTTCCCCCGACTTGACTCGACTCGGCTGACTCTGACTGGCGCTAAACAACTTTCTCCTCCTCCTTCTCCTCCTCCTCTTTTCTGCTGCCCCTAAAAATCTCACGGCTCAACCTGACTACGTCACAACTTTTCTCCCTTCCTCTCTGTCACTCTCAAGTACTCTATCATCAATCGTCCACCGCGCGCAACGCGATAGCCCGACCAGGCGCTGTTCTTTTTTGCACCGCGTTTTTTTTTAACACTCCCCCAAACCCTCCGTATTCGAATTAATCTTTTTCGTCCTTTTTCCGCCCGGCGTTATTGTCACACTGCCATTCGCTTCACCGGTCGCTTGCGGCCATTCCTACTTGAATCCATCCCAAACAGAATATGTCTGCTGCAGTCGCCTCTAGAGCCTCGACGCACATCTCCAATCCTAGCGCTCGTACTTCTGTCGCTCCCATGGACGCGAAGAAGAAGGCGATGAAAGCAGAAGGTTCGTACTCTTGCCCTGCTGGGCCCCGATTTTCTGTTTGGTTCTGTTTGTCTTTTTTGCTTTGAAATTTTTCCCTTTTGAGGTTGGCTCTTTTTGGGTTTGGTAATACTGCCGCCACCATACCCTTCTGATACTTTAATCGTGCCCCCTCGGGATGACCTCACTTTTTCGCGTCATTGACTACTCCTGTCCTTATCTGATTTCGAGACGAGTGTCATCATTTTTATTTTTGGCCTTTTGATCTTATTGATTGTTGGTGATTCTCGGTATTGTCACCTGGGCGACGCGATGGGTATCTCGACTCGTCGTCGTCGTCGCGTTTCTGCTACCGGTATTGTCGCTGTCGCGTGCTTGTCTGGTTTTTTTTTTTTTTCTTTCACTTCTTACTGCTGCTGTTACTAGTGTTTTGCCTTTTGGAAGAAGAAAAAGATAAGTGCCGAATGCTGATCAAGATCTTTCGTGACAGAGTCGCAAGCGCCCGCTGCTGAGAATAAAGACGTGAAGGGGGAAATCGACTCGCAGGCCTCAGTTGCGCCTCGACCTGCCATCACCACTGCCTCGGACACGCCCGACTACTTCAACTCGGTCCACAACCCGTTCTCGCTGGAGCCGAACCCCTTTGAACAATCCTTCGCCTCCGGGGACACACCCGGCAAGTCCCTCCTTCCTCCCGTCGCCTCCTTGACCTCGCCTGCCCTGGGGGGCGCCAGCTCTGCGGGAGGTTACAACTGGTCGAACTCCCTTCGCTCCGGCCCCCTGAGCCCGGCAATGCTCGCGGGGCCTACCGGTCCCAATGATTACTTCGACAGCATCGGCAGAGGCTTCCCGACCCCGAACGAATCGTCGCTCCGCACCGGCCTGACCCCTGGCGGCGGCGGTTCCATGTTCCCGGCGCCCAGCCCCAACTCCCAGGCCATCCTCCAGCAACTCCAGAACGGCGGCGCCACCCCGTCGACGATTGAATTCCACCGTACCGCCCTCAACGCGGCCAAGAAGAACGGCGCACACGCTCCCACCTCAAACCCCGCCTCTCAAACCGAGCAGGCCGCCGCCGCCGCCCAGTCGTCCAACATGGACTTGAAAAACCAACCGACGGCCGTCGACCCCTTCACCCACCACGACGCCGCTGATGCCGCTAACGGTCTTTTCATGCTGGCCAAGGGTGGCCAGCCGAATCCCGCCCAATATCCCGTCCCCGGTCAGCCGGCGCTCGGGGTCCAGCATGACCAGTCGCGCGACCCCAGCGGCGCAACCAAAGCAGCCTTGATTGGTGCCGGCAATGGCGCCCGCGAGCTGAGTGACGACCTGTCCGATGCGCAGGGCGAGCTGATGAAACCGACCGCCAAGGGCAAAAACAAAAAGGGCGCCGCCACGAAAGCCTCCGCTGCCGCCAACAACAACAGACGCAAGGCCGACGACTCTCCCGTGGCCAAGGGCTCCAACAAGAAGGCGAGGGTGAACAACGGTTCGGTCAGCACCGAGCCGCCCTCGGATCCCGGCGATTCGGATGACGATGATGACTTCAGGCGGAAGTCTCAGATCGATCCCAAGAAGATGACAGATGAAGAGAAGCGGAGGAATTTCCTCGAGAGAAACCGGTATGTTCATCGGACCTTTTTGAATGATGAAAAGGATTTTTTTTTTTTTTTCGCTAATGCGGTTAGGGTCGCTGCACTCAAATGTCGTCAACGGAAAAAGCAATGGCTGGCTAACCTTCAGGCTAAGGTTGAGCTGTTCACCACGGAGAATGATGCTCTCACCGCAACCGTGACGCAGCTTCGGGAAGAGATTGTGAATCTGAAGACGCTGCTATTGGCGCACAAGGACTGTCCTGTCTCCCAAGCTCAAGGCCTGGGCCCTCTCATGATGAACGGCATGTCCGCCGGCTTCGACCCGCACCCTTACAGCATCGCTAGCAATATGGGCATGCCCGGTGGTCCCATCCCCGCCCAAGCCATCCGACGATAAGACGAAATGACGCCTCCCATGGTCCTTTTTCTTTCTTTTTTGATATTTACTCAAAGTTACGGACAAGGCTTATTCAAAGATCTATACACTTCCGTTGCTTTTACGGCATGCAGAGCTGATGACAACCTTCTCCCCCCCCCCCCCCCCCCCCCCCCCCCTCGAGATCCTCTGCACCTTTTTTTCAAGATCCTACTCCGGATCAACCCTCTCTTTTCTAGGGTTGCCCCGGTTACTGGATCGATCCTCCTAATGTCTCTTTCTCAAAACCTCCTTCAGCTGCGCGATTCACACATGGGCCTTTGGCATGGATGGGTGTTAATGATGTATACGAACCAAAAATGGACGGGCTGAATCAGATGTGACACCTCGGTTTTTCTTTTTCTTTTCTTTTCTTTTCTTTTTTCAAATTGTCACCTCAGGAGGCGTGTAAATTTGGCGCATGAGAATTTGTTGGCTCTTGATATTTCGAGTTTCCTCCTTCTTTCTCCCTTCACCTTTCTGTTTTTCTATTAATTACCTCCCTACTAGGTGAATCAAGGACCTGGTCTCAAACCATGGACAGGATACCTTTTTTCATTCTTTTTTGCAGGGTAGGCCTGTAGTATTGTTCCTCTTGAACCTTTCCTTTCATTTTTTTTCTTTATCACCGAGGTTTTCAATCTTCTTGTCCTGTTCTGGTTTCTCTTGTTTGATATTACGAGGCACTGGGGCTGCCTTTTGTCTTTTTCGTCCTTTTTTTTTTTTCCCCTTCTAGGGCGGCGTATCGGCGGCTTTGTGTGATTCGAATGAATTAGTTATATCTATTGCTACCAGGCCTAGCTATACTGTTTTTCTGCACCTCGTTTGAAACTCAGGCGCTTGAATTTTCCTGTATTCTTCCTTCTGCTCTACTGCGCTGTTTTCGAACCACAATGCCCGCGATGAACCGAGGTATACAGGTTGGTGTGGTAGCTTTGAATTAGTGACAGAATTGGATCTTGATTGTTCCATTGTTATTATTATTATTATTATTGATTTCTATACTGGACACTGTAGGTCATTTTTATATAGTAACTCGCTTGGCGGCAAACAAGACAAACAGGACATGGCGCGTCCCGCATCTTCAACAACGGTGAGCTGCTCCACGCGACGAATTGTCGAACAAGGGCATCATCCCTAGATGGGTGACCGATGAATGCCAAATAATCTGCTGCTAGGATTTCAGTGCTACGATATGCACCGGTTGGAGGATTCGAATCAGACTCCGGATCCTCGCAAACGAGCGCGGTGAAGCATCCACGCGCCTCGAGCCCAATAACGAATCTACCGGGGGGTTTTTCTTTTCTTTTTTCTTTTTTAGATCATCATCATCAAAAATAAAACAAATCAAACGATCTCTATCGACGATGTCTCGTCCATCCACCCGGCCGCGCCGGATTGACGACGCTCTCTCGCAACTGGTCGACTCGCTCACCCCGCCCCTCTCGGCCTCTGCTCTCCCAGGCGATCTCTCCGACGACGCCGCCGAGGACGTTCTCTCCGCGGCAGAGGAGCGCAGACATCACCAGAATCTGCAGCGCGCATGGCGTACCCTTGAATCACATGCCCGATCGGCGGATCCTGCTTCGCCATCTACAGGAGGAGGTGGAGTAGCAGCCCGCAGGGGGAGTCTGGCAGGAGGAGAAAACATCAACAACGCCTCCGACCTGATCAAGCGGAAACTACTGCGCGAGAATGCGAGCCCCGACAAGGCGGTGCGGTTCTCGAATCTATACTCGCGCCTCCTGACGCAGCCGGTGCTGTCGCAGAAATGGGCGATCCTGTACCTGCTTTACCGGCTCTCGAGCCCAGAGGTACCCCTGGAAGATAATGAGGGCGAGCGCAGTCGCAGCCCGTTGATGGATGAGGGGGGATTACAGAATTTGCTGTTCAACGGGCAAAAACAGAGGAGAGGGTTGGATATCAGAATGGGAGGAGGAGGAGACTCGGACGATGAAGGACCGGCGGTCAGCTCCTCGGCGTCGCAACGGCCTGTCCGACAGGAACGGGTCAGCTCGCTACGACATGATAGTAGGGAGATGGGAGAAACAGTTAGGCCTGTTGAAGAGGGTCCAAGGCAAGCTTCTGCCGAGCAACACCTTTCGGATGAGCCCAAGGCTGGTGGCAGATCGAGAGCAAATTCAAAGGCACCACCACCACCACCACCACAACCTGCACAGGACCAGGTAGAGAAGAGTCAGGGCCAGGAATCGGTCGAGCCCGTGGAACACGGACTCCTGCGTGACCTTCCGTTCAACCTGCAGGGGTTATCCTCTTCCAACCTGGAATTCTCCTCGTCGTCGATCATGAAACTGCCCCCCAACTTACCCATCCCCATTCTCTCTCTCCTGCATTCTCTTGCCGAACCGTGTTTGCTTTACCGCGGTCTGTCCAACTTTGCAAACAGCTCCGACGGCGGGCTGATCAGCCAGAGCTTGCGCGCCGCAGTTGCCAACGAGCTGCGCTCTTACCTGGGCTTGGTTGCCACTCTGGAAGGGGAGATCCGAAGAGCTTTGATTGCCATCGGGGACTCGAATGAACCCAAGGGTATGGCGCGTGGGGGGGTCACTTTGAAGAGATGTGTGGTCTGGACGAGGGATGCCACAATGGCCTTGCGGTTGATGAGTTTGATCGTCGAGGAGTCGCGTAGTAAGTTCCCTCCCTCCCTCCCCCCCCTCTTTCTCTCTCAAATACATACTAATTAACTGTAAAAGACAAAAAAGGTGGCCAGTTGATTTCTCTTATTCATGGCTTCTCGTCCTCCCACGGGGATCCGTTCGTCTGCGCATTTGCCGAGAAGCTTTTAACCCACGTTACGCGGCCATTCTACGACATGCTACGGCACTGGATTTATGACGGCGAATTGTCTGACCCCTACAAGGAGTTTTTCGTTGTGGAGCCTGAATTCAGGCCCAGCACAGACCCGCGACGCATTGCTACGAGCGTCTGGGAAGACAAGTACAAGCTAGATGATGAGATGGTGCCCTCGATCATCACCCAGGAGTTTGCGAAGAAGATCTTTCTCATCGGGAAATCGTTGAATTTCATTAGATACGGGTGCGGCGACTCCGGATGGGTCGAAGCATACTCGAAGGAGGCGTCCAAGGAACTCCAGTACGGTGACACCGCACGGCTGGAGACCAGCATCGACGAGGCGTATAAGACTACCATGGCGCGGCTGATCCACCTGATGGACGACAAATTCAAACTCTTCGACCATCTCGAGGCATTGAAGAAATACCTGCTGCTCGGCCAGGGTGACTTTATTGCCTTGCTAATGGAGTCTTTGGCTTCAAACTTGGACCGCCCCGCGAATTCCCAGTACCGGCACACCCTGACCGCACAGTTGGAACATGCGATCCGCGCGTCGAATGCCCAATATGACTCCCCCGATGTCCTGCGACGGCTCGACGCCCGCATGCTCGAACTGAGCCACGGCGAGATCGGCTGGGATTGCTTCACCCTCGAATACAAGATCGATGCACCCGTGGACGTGATCATCACGCCGTGGGGGTCGACGCAGTACCTGAAGGTCTTTAACTTCCTGTGGCGAGTGAAAAGGGTCGAGTTTGCTCTGGGCAGCACCTGGCGACGCTGCATGACGGGTGCCCGAGGGGTGCTGGGCAATGTGGACGACAAGGTGGGCCCGGACTGGAAGCGTGCCCGCTGTGTCATTGCGGAGATGATCCATTTTGTCTGCCAGCTGCAGTACTACATCCTGTTCGAGGTCATCGAATCCAGCTGGGACCAGCTGCAGGCGGCGATCTCCAAACCAGGCTGCACACTGGACGACTTGATCGAAGCGCACACCAAGTATCTTAATTCCATCACACACAAGGGACTGCTGGGCTCGTCGACCTCGTCCAAAGCTTCCAACTCCTCCTCCACTACCACCACCTCCTCATCCGGTTCTTCTGCAGGTAAGCAGGAAGAAAGCTTTCTGAGCCAGCTCCATCAAATCCTCAAGATCATGCTGGCATACAAGGACGTCGTCGACGGCCTGTACTCCTTCTCCGTGGCGGAATTCACCCGGCGCCAGGAGCTGAGCGCGAAGATCGAGACTCGCACCGCGCAAGGCCACTGGGGTGTCACCGACCAAGATCTGTTCCCCTCTGCTGCCCGTCGTCAGCCTCATGGCACCAAGCCCTCGGTCTCGTCCATCTCGACGCCAGGCGCTGACACCCCCTCTTCTCTCTTCCCCCCCAACGGTAATGGTCTCACAGGAGAGGACCACTTACTCCCTTCCCTACGGACCCGGCTGCAAGACCTCTCGGCTGAGTTTCGATCGCGGCTGAATATCCTCCTGGGCGACCTGGCGTACCAGCCTGATGTCGATATGCGCTTCCTCGGCGTGGTCATGAACTTCAACGATGTCTATGACCCTGTCCGTCGGCGACGGACGGCAGGCGCCAGTGCGAGAGACAAGGAGAGGGCGAAGAGAAAGGCTGCCGCCGCCGCTGTAGCGGATGAAGCCGCGTCGAGAGAGAGGGAGAAGATGAGAGATCTCAGCGGGGCCGAAAATAGCGGTAGTTAGACTAGACATGTACATATACATTTTATTCAATGCTCAGTAGGGTTATACTCATGCAGTTAACTACTCAGGTATACTTCGTACTCTGTACTATGTAGTGTCGCGATAAGGTCGACCCACCGATAAGCGTGGAAAATTTCTAGAGCGAAAGTCGAACCTGGTCTTCTGTCTGTACCACTCAATTGAATCTTTCTGTTTTAATTCCGGATATCTCGTCTCATTTATTTATCACAATGGCGGCTGAAGCCTCACCGTCGGAGGATGTCTCTTCGAAACGGAAATCAAGCTCGAAGCGCGAAGACGCCGAGACGGAAGTGAAATCGAAATCGAAATCAAAGTCCAAATCCAAGGACAAGAAGAGCAAGCATGAGGATGTATCGGAGAAACCTAATGAATCAACGGTGAACGAGGCAGATGGAAAAGAAAAGAAGAAGAAGGAGAAGAAGAAGAAGGAGGCAAGCAAGAAACGATCATTAGAGGAGGAAGGGGAGGGTGTTCCGACTACTGAACAGGAGTCTACGACGGAGCATAAGAAGAAGAAAAGGAAGAGGCGAGAGTCTGACGCGGGAGCGAAAGAGAAGGGGTCCGACTTGACTGGCGAATCGAAGTCGGTAGAGGAGAAGGAAGAAGAGGACAAAGAACCTGGAACTGTCCCTATCGAGGACAAGAAAGAGGAGAAAAAAGAGAAGAGAAAGAAGGAGAAGAAGAAGAAGCAGACGACAGATGGCAATGCTACAGCCTCCACCTCTATCCACGAGACACCCATCCTTTCCTACCTGAGTCGGTACTACAAGAGTCCTCAGACATGGAAGTTCCAGAAGAACCGCGAGACCCAACTCTTCAAACATCTGTTTTCGCTCGAGCATCTTCCCGTCCAGTACAATGCCGCCCTGCTGGCATATTTGAAGGGGCTGAAGAGCGAGGGGGCCAAGCAGCGGCTCGGCCAGGCCGCCGAGGAAGCCATCAAGGCTGATCTGGACAAGGGGGAAGAAGAAGACAAAACGGAGGAGGAAGAGTCCGAGAATGGGGTGTCATACGACAAGGCAATCGAAGCGTTCAGGGCCTGGTTGGTGGCTGAAGAAAGTGAGGATTTCGAGAACGACGAGGTGGTTGCGTCGTTGGATACCACTGCGCTTCAACGCCTGCACAAACGACAACGCGCCGAGCTGGTTCTGTTTGCGCTCACGCAGCAACTCTACGATCTTCAGAAACCGAAGCCAGCGAAGAAGAATGCTGCCAATGACGGCCCTAACAAGAGGAAGCGGAAGAACCGGACGGCAGTCATTGAAATATCAAGTAGTAGCGAAAGCGACAGCGACAGCGATTCGGACTCGGACTAGGAGGTGAAGAAGAGACTTTAATCGCATCTACAAGCGTGTTTCAATTCCAACGAGCACATTTATCATCTGACAGGAAGAGAACAAATCATTGCTATATAAATATATTGTCCAAATAGTACCATAATTGCTGAGAAGCAGACTTCGTGGTAGTAACTACCAATACTCTGTACCAGAAAGACTGGTGGTGAGCGGAAGGCGGTGAACAAAGCTGAACCTGAAGCTGGAGCTCCAGCCAGGCACCTGCTGGCACGCGTCATTCGAACCACGATTATCTCTCAGCTCAGGACGACTTTTTAATTCCTTCGTATCTTCTTATTCCTTTCATCCCAAAAAATAAAGATATCACATCACCATGTCTGGTAGGATTGCTCGCTCGAGCTGGTTTGACAGAGGACTTCACCGCTGACAGTTTGTCTCTGGACCAGGAAGCGCAGGGTACGACAGACATATCACCATCTTCTCGGACCAGGGCCGTCTGTACCAAGTCGGTATGTGTGATGATACATCAGCGAACGAAATTGGAAGACAATACCTGGGTTATAGTGGCTGAGCAGATGTGATAGAATATGCATTCAAGGCCATCACCGCGGCGAACATCACCTCTGTCGGAGTGAGGGGGAAGAACTGCGCTGTCGTACTATCTCAGAAGAAAGTTGCGGTAGGCAATATACCACTCTAGCCTTAGCTTGCTTGCACCTATCATCCTTGCTGATCGATCCAGGACAAACTGATCGACCCGTCCTCCGTCTCCCACATCTTCAAGATCTCTCCGTCCGTGGGCTGTGTGATGACGGGCTCCATTGCTGATGCCCGGGCATCTGTCGACCGTGCCCGTGGAGAGGCAGCCGAGTTTCGATACAAGTACGGGTATGAAATGCCCTGTGATGTGCTTGCCAAGCGACTTGCCAATATCAACCAAGTGTACACGCAACGGGTAAGTGGATTGGATATATATACGAGCCGCGGATACATACAATTATCTAACAGGGATGGCTGATACGAATAATAGGCGTATATGCGACCGCTCGGTGTGGCCATGACTCTGATCTCGGTGGATTCGGAGAATGGCCCGCAGCTCTACAAATGTGACCCTGCCGGATACTACGTGGGATACAAGGCGGCTGCGTCTGGCCCGAAGCAGCAGGAGGCACTCAACTATCTGGAGAAGAAGCTGAAAAACAAGGATTACGCCGATGGCGGTTGGGAGGAGGTGGTCGAATTAGGAATCACCGCTCTGAGCAATGTGTTGAGCGTCGATTTCAAGAAGCACGAATTGGAGATTGGCATCGTCGGTGGCCCCCGGACGGACGGCCAGGAAGGGACAGACACTACCTTCCGAGCTCTGACGGAGGAGGAGATCGACGAACGGCTGCAGGCCATCAGCGAGAAGGATTGAGGGAACCTGTCTGGGAGAATGAACATGAAATAGAGACCCCTGGAGGCGCAATGTTGTTCATTTAAAAACCCCTTGCAGCAGCCCAGCAGCCATAACTCGTCATAGCCATGTTGAAACGCCATTCACTTTTCCTCTCTCTCCATTATTATTGCACGCCATACGGAACTCCCCCCTGTGGTGTGTGTGTGTGTGTGTGTGTGTGTGTGTGTGTGTAGGATCTCCTTCGTCCCCGCAGGTGGCAAGCAGGCCTCGCCCGTCGAGAGGACCAGCCGAATGTAGATTCTGGCCCGGATGGGCTATGTCGATGATGACACCTCTCTGCATGATGTGAAGAGAGAGAGAGAGAGAGAGAGAGAGAGAGAGAGCGTAAAGATAGAACCCGCACCTTCGGATGGGCCGACCGCGAGCGAGCATCAGAACTGCATGGCCTGCGTGCTAAGGACGCAACCCCTCGCTGAGCCACGCCAATTACAACGTCTTGAGTGGAGTGCTTTCAGCTGCCATCGTGAGAGCCAATTCTGTGGCTGTGTGGCTTTTTTTTTCAACGGGAACGGTACAGAAACAATACAGAGTATTGTTCCTAGGAAGTAGCACTTAGTAACTACCTACTCAAGTAGTAGTAGAGTATCTACCTGTCTGATCACATACTGTAGAGGGACCGACCTTAGGCAGCTTACCTTGGTATTCAGTATGAATCAAAGTCTCCATGACTGAATAATTAGCTGCGTGGTGGCTTGCGCAGAGCAGCTGGATGTGTTGGTCTGCGTAGACCGCAAAGCAACTCCACTCGTGAATCCTGTCACAGGAAAAGAAAGAAAAAAAAGAGATCTTGCAGGGTCCATCGTATCGAGTCTATGAACCCAGGAAACCGTCGCAACCTGGTCTCCTGTGGGGTTGTATGTTCGGTTTGCGAACGGTTTCGTTTCCTAGTCCAAACCGTCGTACGGAGAAGTCCTATGTTTTTGTCCTGTCTCATTGGTGTTTGCAGTTTGAATCCCGACAGAATGAACCACACTAACCTGCAGTGCCGACTGCAATGGCAGCTCCTGCTGCATTTTTGGGTTTAATAATAATAATAACAATATTTTTTTTTTACAGATGCTATTTTTCTATTCCCCTTCCAGATCCACCCTCCCAGCTGGTATGTTCACTCCTGGGCGTTTGGAGGAGCTCTCCCCCCCGGTTCTCAACACTCATTGGACGTCCGACTGCCAGATGCGAGGAACGGGGATCCCCATGGCGGCGAATGTTCAACACAGACGTGCTAAAATTCAGGGGAGCGAAGCTGGTTGAGGAGCCAGCAGGCCCAGGTCTGGATGCTCGTTCGTGAGAGGGCCGCCGAACGAGTAAGCTTAAAAAGGATGGCATCTCTCTCCCTTGAGAAGAAGAACAGCAGACGGACGATTCGATTCGAGGTCATTCTAATTCAATATAAGGGAGTCGTTGTCCTGTTCAATTCACTCCTTCAGTTTGCTTCCGATAGACTGTTCTTCTGTTCTTTTCTTTGTTTTTCTTCGTTGCCTTTATAGTACACTGTTTGACATCACCAACAATGGCCGACGGACGTGAGTCAATACTCTCCCCATGATGGATTGGATTGATCAAGGCTGATGTATCAGTCAACCAAGCTCGTGCATTGAGGGTTGCCGAGATCATCAACGACTACCGCACACTCCTCCTTCATATCTCACAGCAGAAGATGGATGTCGCCCAGGAGGACTACTGGGAGGAAGGCTTCGTTGTGTTGCGCGAGTCTCTGGCGGCCGCCCAAAAGCTGATGGCCTCCAACTATACTCCTACCCCGGTAGGGAATGCAGGGAATGCCGCCGAGGCAGAAAAGGCCGAATTACGAAGGTGAGTTTCCAATTCTTCCCCGGGGAGCGGCGGAATAGCCATTGACTTAGGAAACAGAGTTATCCTAGACGGCAGTGCCCGGCGATTCCAAGCACACAAAACCTACCTGCGCGCAGCGGCAGCCAGACGATGGGCTCTGAATCGAGCCAACGCTCTGCGCGGCCAGCGCCCTACGGAGAAGCATGCAGCGCAGTTGAAAGCCATCAGCAATATGTTCCGCGAGGTGAGTTTGAGATACAGAGAAGAAGAAAAAAAAATTCAAGACAAAAACCTAATATCTGCTAGGAACTGGCCTCCATCAGCGATCAGCATGTTGTCGCTGATCTGCGGGCTGCCGACCTGCGGGCAGGTCACTGGCTCGACGACGACCCGAGTCTGAACGAGATCCTCCACTGGAGTCAAATGCGGTTATGAGCCACGCTGGACGTGTCGCCGGTCGAAACGACGGACGAATTGATATTACGACGAGCGAGACATTTTTCCTGAATCTCAAAAGTTCCTGTCTCCAGGCGCAGGTCGCTCCCACTATCAGAGCTTTCTTCCTTTTTTCTTTCTTTCTCTTAACTTTACTATTTTGCCTCCGGGTGGTCACTATTACTACGGTGTTATGGACTGGTGTTGGGCGAGAAGATGTGACTATCTTTATTATCTTTCGGTGTTTCTTGGGCCCTTGTTTATCGAGATATCAATATGAGCTACTACTACTACTACTACTACTACTACTACTACTACTACTACTCTGTACCTTGAAAATCTATTTTATTTCATATATTGCCATTACTGTCATTACAGTGTCCCAGGTCTAAGACTTCCGTTCCGACTCCCTGGATACAACAGCTGGGACCTGCATTGACGTCCGTTTCTGGTGGATTGTCCGATGAGACTTCAGGCTCTGCATAGCCCCGATTGGCCCGTGCAAGGACAGCTGAAGGCCTCCGTGCCCGCAGATGCCTTAGGCCAACCGGAGCTCGCTATGACGCCGTTCAGCTGGTGTCTGTCACGGTAAATTGCTTAGTGGGCACTAGCAGGTAGTTAGTCACCTTAGGTACCTGAGGCTAGTAAGTATGGGGATTAGATAGTTACACGTAAGTATGTAGTATTAATTTCTTCGATTATGACTTCAACGTTCGTGGCGTAGTGGATACTAGCTTGGTCGTGAGTCAGTCGTTAGTACGAAGTACTACGGAGTACAGAGTAAGGCTTAGATATCCATTCCACCGTACTATAATACTACTAGTTAGTTAGTATCTACTATCTTGGATAATACTATGCTGTGCCTCTGTCTGCTCTATCCAGCTTCCCGGCAAGTGCGCCGCTATCGAGGATGCTACCGAACATGGCCGCTTCGAAGAGATAATTCACCTGCCACGCATGGTGATCTGCATGCGCCATGAGCCATGCCAATTCAAGGACCAGACCTTGCGAGAAGCTCTTGGCCACAGTAAGCTGGAGATTCTCCGCGAGTTCGGATTCCCGCTCTTGACTCACGATTCCGGCTCGAACATACTGGAGCGGATCGGTGACGATGGCCTTCCACAATTCCGCTATTATCGGCGAACGCTTGTTGCTAGCCACGAGCTGTGACACGGCGTCGCAAACATCACCTCCGCTGCAGGCGTTCTTCAATGGCCGACTGAACCCAGTCGTGAAATAATCCTCGTCGAAAGCCTCGTCAAAATCGGCCTCGCGTTGCTCAGATGGGACCTTGCGTACCTTCTCCCAGCCGAGGATCGCCCGCCGGAGGAACATATGGCGATCGTTACAGATGTGCCATGGGTACAACATTGAACACATGCGTGCCAGGGGCTCGGACCATCTCTCTGTGAGGGCTCGAGCGCCTGTATGGGCGCATGCATCGTAGACACGCCTCAGCACCTCCTCGCTCACCACTCCAGTACTGGTGATGTCCGCCGTGTTGAGGAACGAGTTCATAACCTCGGAGTTGAGAATATCGCTGCCAACGTCAACGACATCGGTGGCAGGATTGCTGAAGACAAGATCGGAAAAGGCTGCTCCGGCGTCGTATCCGCGTGTGATTGCTTCAGCGGTCATTCCAAGAAGGCTACTTTCACAGATCCCCACCATCTGCACCGTTCGACGATCCATCCTCGCCGAATAATATGTCACGTCGGCTTTGTGCCGTTCCTCCAGCGCAATCTTGCCTTTGATGTATTTGATGCCAAGAGCGGCTGCCTCTCGTCGTTCCACACCCCCGAGAGTCTGCAAAGCATGCGCATCATGCTTCGCTTTCTCAATCAACGGTTCAAACTCCGGGAATACATAATGGTAGCCGTGTTCCATATAAAAGCCCATATCGATGAGGTAATTTGAGAAGAGTGTCTGCACATCATGTGCACCTATCAACAAGTTCGCAATACCAACGCCAAACAATGAGCTGGTCTGAGTGAGAGCAATTGGCCATCTTGAAACACGCAAGATCTCGAGAACTTCTGGAGAGAGCATTTTGAGTCCTTTGCCCTTGGCGGGAAGGATATAGCCGGCATCATGCTTTTCTCGCCGCCATCGTAGAAGATCATCAGATAGTCGAAGCTGGACTAGGTTCCCCTTGCCCTTAGGTCTTTCCGAGTCGCCCATCGAATCAAAAACGCTCGTCACGAATCCCAGAGCCGCGGTCGTGATTCGCTCTACCGCTTTAGTCCCACCGTCGTCGATGAAGCCACGAACCTCCGCATAGCCGCTATGGATAGGAAAGACGTCGTCTCTCCTCTGGTCAAATTCGCTGCCACCCCAGAAATAAGGGGGGATAGGAGTCGGATGCTCCCAGAGGAAGCCTTCCTTCAATGGCAAGACATTGACACGGAACCCGTCAATGTCGAAGTCGTCCCATTCTGAATGATGAGGACAATTTCCCATAGCTCTTGTGTTGCGGTAACGCACTGTTCGAATATGATGAAAGAGTCAGCTGTAAGCAAGAGAGGATCAAGTTCCTGAAAGGTCACTGGAGTGGGAAAGAGGGAGTCTGTGTCTGAATGAGAGCATTTTGACAGGCAAGAATCCCAGCCTCTTTATACTGTTCTCATGTGCCACAGGCCGTTGCGCCTCGGACAGCACACATTTAAAAGGTATCATGCCCCTACTTTCTTGGGTCTCACACTCCTGCCTGAAGTGTCGCCCTTCATACCTCGCATAAAATTTCCGGTTATTTTGTATCGATTGATAAGAATATGGCTTATCTACCCAGACCATATATGAGCTCTGTATTTGCAGATCTGAACCGTGAAGACCTGGTGATCAAGAAAATAGGGAGTTGAACAAACTATACTTACCTCATTTAGCAAAGTAGATGCCTAGGTAAATACCAGGCATGATATTGGGTACATGAGAGTCAGTAGGGATCAACACGGGGCCGTAGGCGTTGGTCCAATCTATCCTTGGTATGTTGATACTCATGAAACTTCCTTCCTACATATGAGCAGCTCTTCTTTAATATCTTTGATCTTCTTCTTATAATTGATGCTCTTGCAGTTGAATGTTGCAGATCTCACACGCTGTTTAGGCTTGGGTTCTTGACCAGATTCATGACTGGGAACGCTTCTAACCATGCAGGTGGAGCCTCGCATGTTGAAGACATCCTCATTAGATTCAGTTGTAGTCACAAATGGGGTCCCTATTCGCAGTGTACTGGGCCATTTTGATAGGAGATTCTGATTCCGGTGCCTCTCTGGTTTTCCATGCTTTATCGCACCATATATTAGGTCTGGGTGTCTATGATTCAGGAGACGTATATTGGGCATAATACAGTAGTATTTTTCTATATCATATGAGCTCACCACATTCAAAAAAGGCGCACTCTCTATTAACACGTTGATCTTTATTCATAATTACCTCACAGGCATACTCAGCATTCCATAACCTATCTCTATATCTGTCACCAGTCGATATGTCAGGTAAAAGATTTTCCGGTCATTTTTTATAGACTGATAGCAAGGAATATTGCTCATCTCCTTGGATCATATCCATAAGCGTTGTATTTATAGATCTGACCAGTGAAGACCCTGGCAAATACCAAGAAATACTCAAAACACCTCTCAGGGGTCCCCTGCGTACGGCGTAAGTTGGGATGACATCCAAGCCACACTATTTACCCCGCCACAGCCACAATTCTGCACCGCCATTCTGAAAATCCGACCAATGACGCATGTCAGGCACCGACGGTAGATATTTATAGCATCTACAGAGTAATCACAGAGAGAGTACTTCGTATCTTAGGACTGCATCACAGCCAACAGTACCTAGTCGGCAGATTAATTTGTTTAAAAAGACATTGTACCGTTGTGGCGTCATTTCGACTTACTGATCTATTTCTACTACTGCTGACACCGCTTGTTGTCTTGCTTGCAGTCTTTCACACCCACGAGTCCGGACTACCCGCCATGTCTGAAATGAAATCTGTGGCGTACTTTGTCAACTGGGTATGATGCAGCCGAGCTTAGCTGGAGGCTAGCTATGACTAATACTGAAACGAACAGGCAATCTACGGCCGGAATCACAATCCTCAAGACCTGCCTGCAGACAAACTCACTCACATTCTCTATGCCTTCGCCAACGTTCGTCCCGAGAGCGGGGAGGTGTGAGTAGAGAAATTATTCTACGCTGATCTTTCCTTGCTGACCACTACCAATGTAGATACCTGACAGATTCGTGGTCCGACGTCGAGAAACACTACCCCTCCGACTCGTGGAACGACACCGGCAACAACGTCTACGGTTGCGTCAAGCAGTTGTTCCTTTTGAAGCAACAGAACCGGAAGCTTAAAGTCCTACTCTCGATCGGAGGATGGACTTACTCGTCAAACTTTGCGCAGCCCGCGAGCTCGGACGCAGGCAGAACCAGATTCGCAGAGACGGCTACCCGGCTGGTCTTGGATTTAGGATTTGATGGCAAGTTTGAACCGCTCCCTGTGTTACAATTACCGGTCCGCTAATGGCTACAAGGTCTGGATATTGACTGGGAATATCCCAAAGGTACGACTCTCAGAGAAGCTAGACGGAATCAATCCGTTAAGCTAACTGCATAGATGATAACGAGGCACAACATCTGGTGCTTCTGCTACAGAAATGTCGTGAGGTCAGTGACACTCGATACTTGCTCATTATTGTGCCCTCCATAGACTGACGGAAGCCAGACTCTTGATAGAGCAGCTGGCCCAAACCGGAAATTCTTGTTGACGATTGCCTGCCCGGCTGGTACGTTTTCTCCTCTCGCATACCTAGCTCTTTCGCCAGAGTGGTGCTAATACTGACCAACAGGCGCACAAAACTACACCAAGCTCAGGCTCCCCCAAATGACACCATACCTTGATTTCTACAACCTGATGGCCTACGACTACGCGGGCAGCTGGGACAGTGTTGCGGGGCACCAATCGAATCTCTATCCGTCATCCAACAGCCCAGCATCGACACCCTTTTCGACTGTTGCCGCGTTGGCCCATTACACACAGGTAGGTGGTGTGCCACCCTCGAAGATCATCCTAGGGATGCCGCTGTACGGCCGGGCCTTCACCAACACGGCCGGCCTCGGGGCGCCGTTCTCGGGCACCGGCGAGGGAAGCTGGGAGCAAGGCGTGTGGGACTACAAGGCACTGCCGCGGCCGGGAGCCATGGAACAACTGGATGCGCAAGTCGGGGCGTCGTGGAGCTACGACGCTGGCTCGCGCACCCTGATCTCGTACGACAACGTTTCTATGGCGGAGCAGAAGGTCGACTTTATCCAGCGATACGGGCTAGGCGGGGGCATGTGGTGGGAGAGCAGCGGCGATAAAGGCGGACCCGCGGCCAGAAAGACGGACGGCAGCTTAATCGGTACCTTTGTCGAGGGGGTGGGTGGTGTGGCGGCGCTGGATCAGTCGTGGAATGCGCTCGATTTCCCCGAAAGCAAGTATGATAACTTGAGGGGAGGATTTAGATGAAACCTCGCATCTAAATACGGCTTGCTAGGTATCTACGGTTGGACAGCAACAAGTGACAAGAATTATGGATGTTTTTTTTTTCATTCAAAAAAAAGTAGCTACCATAAAGCCTGTCTTCCCGCAACTTCTACCAAGTATGGAAAATTTACTTGGACTCGTCGAAGACGTAGGTGAGGTGGCACTTGCCGCAGTACTGGCGGTTGTGCATGGCGGCCATGAAGACACCGGCACCGCACTAGATTCTGTTAGTAATTCCAATCATAAAGAAAAAGAAAGGTAGTGTCTGAACATACCTCGGGAGCGGGGCACTCGCGACGAAGACGCTCGATCTTGCCATCACCGTCGACCTTGTAGTACTTGAGGACGGCAAGCTTGGTCTTCTTGCGCTTGTGCTTGATCTTCTTGGGAGTGGTGTAGACCTTCTTCTTGCGCTTCTTGCCACCACCACGCAGGCGGAGCACGAGGTGCAGGGTCGACTCCTTCTGGATGTTGTAGTCCGAAAGGGTGCGGCCATCCTCGAGCTGCTTGCCGGCGAAGATCAGACGCTGTTGGTCCGGGGGGATTCCCTCCTTGTCTGTAGAGTGGATGTTAAGAGATGATGCCATTTTGGAAAATCACTCATGCAGTGAGCAGAATACGTACCCTGGATCTTGGACTTGACATTGTCGATAGTGTCGGACGACTCAACCTCGAGGGTGATAGTCTTGCCCGTAAGGGTCTTGACGAAGATCTGCATCTTGGATGAAGGCCTAGTACGGCGTCAGTAAGCATGTTAACCCGGTTTTTTTTCCTTCCATCAGCATCTTTATGATGCTGGCGACAAAGAAACGAGGATGCTATGCATGATATCTATCATGCGGTTCAGGGCGACTCACCTCGACAAGAGTTGTCTTCCTCAACCTTCTGGTGCGACGATTCCGAAAAAAGTTTTGTATGCGGGCGGAGCACGCCTCGTTAAAATGATTGTGTGGTCACGTGAACGGGGACCCACCGACTCCCGAGTCACCGACTCCGAGCGGCTTTCTACGGAATACGGAGTATGATTTCCCCGAGTATCAGGGTTACATAATACATGACAAATCAATCACGTGGTAATAATACTCAAATAAATAAAGTAAAAATAGTCAATAATAAATCGCGATATTAACAACCCACTTACTACGGCTCAATAATAATAAATAACTAAAGAAGAGCACTAGTTTCTCAAGCTATGGAGAGATGACGACACTCCTATCTCTAGTTAGTTAACTAGTTACCTGTTAGTTACTCCGTAGTTGCTCCGTAGAGCAGCAAGATAGCTACGATGATGTAGTCAAGCCAACCTTGCTGGGCCCTGGCTCCCCTGCAATCCTGAAGCAATTATTATGGCCATTATTGCAGGGGAAGGGATGACCGTAAACAAATAATGAGACCCTCACAGGATGAAACCCCCTCGGGAGAGAATATCCAGGGTGGCTGGGAGGAGGCTGGAACATCCGGCGATGGTCGAAGTAGGGGAGGCTGGGAGGGAAAAATCCTCCTTGCGCAGGTGCGGACCGAATCGTCAAGATCGCACATCCTAACCGCCCTCTGGACCACTTTAATCTTCCTGTTCGATGTTCGGAGCCGATCCACATGCGCTGACAGTGGGTTAATTGCAGGTCAATGCCAAGCGGGATCCGTTTCCTGGACGCCTCGACTGGCCTCGTTGCCAGGGAAACAGGCCTATTGTTGATCTGAGCCGTGGCATAGATCTGGATAGCTTCAGCTTCTCCATCCTCTCCCTTGGTTGTAAGATCAACTAAATACCTCTATTACCCCTCCCTATTCCTCCTCCTCCTCTCTCCAGACCCTCTCTCGCCTTCCGAAGCCTCCCATCGCGTGGGGAATCGAATATCCTTATCCGCCTCGTCTCTGAGCATTCGTTGATCTGAACCGCCTGCACGAAGAAATCGCGTCGCAAATCTCCGATTAGAGGAGGGCTGGGGGCGATCTAGTTTCTTAACTCGCGCTTTCTTTTTCTTTTTTTCTTTTTTCACGCTGAAGGAAGAAGTCCACCGACTGACACTGTGATACAGAATTGTTTCGGTCCTTGGTTGGCCCAACCGAACGGCCCAATACCCTCGAAAGGTAAGTGCTTCTTGTCGTCGTCGTCGCCGCCGTCGTCATAATCCCCAAGTATGGTACAGGCAGCTCATCAACTCGGCCTACAGAAATCGCCATCGACCGATCGTATCTCGGCAGTCGTGTGGTCAGTCGCATACATGATGCTGGCCAATCCCCACAGTACGCTGCACGAGCGACACCGGCAGCACCGCCGCCAGATCTCGACTCCCTCGGCACTCGAAGCTGCCAAAGCACCCAGTCTTCCCGGGCCCGTTTTGCAGAGATATAACGCTCATCGCCGAGGACAGAGTCTTGACTCGCGGTCGCTGCCGCCCCAGCTGTTGAAGACGGTCAAGGATGGTGCACTTCCGAGCAATACTAACCAAATGCTATACCAGCAACCCCAACAGGTCTTACGAGAGGCACAGCAGCAGCGCCTAAAACATCAGCCGGTGCCTGCCCAGATGCAAAAGCCGTCGACCATGCTATACATCGCCGACAGACAGCTTTTCAATGGAAACGACTTGCGAGCCTCGACCAACCATTACAGCAATGAAAACGATCCGACACTCGCATGCCTTAAGCCAAAGGTCGCCAGTCCAAACAGTTCTGGTTCTACAAACCAGCCTCTGAGACTTGCCCTTGAACGCATGGATCAGCAGAGGAACAATTCCCAGTTCTACACTACTCACCATGCCTCTCAAGCGTGGATGCAAGACAACATGGCGGCGTTTCCTCAACAAGCCGGTTTGCGACGACTGTCTGTTCAATCTATCCAGTCTGATATTAGCCCACGCACATCACGGCCCCAGACTCCCACTAAGCAAATGAATACTAGTAAGTTAGCCGAAGGAGAAGTAGGAATCGCTCTTAGCTTTTTTTCTCTCTCTAACCAGTTTGACAGGCTATTTCCCTATGACCCCGGCAAGTACCCCGTTCAGGACCTCGGCGGAAATTGCTACATACCGAGGAAATGTCCAGGTGTCGCCAACCAAGAGTCAATGTTTTTCTGTCCCCCATGTATCTGATCCTTCGTTCATGCAAAGAGCAAGATCGCTCCAGGGAGTGCCCGGAGCCATTTCAGCCCAGCAGAAGTTTGAGGTTTCATCCCCTTCGAATAACGCGTCCTTTGAACTTGACGGTCTTGATCTTTTTGATGGCAGGTATGAATCTAGTCTTGAAAGCTCCGCACCTCGTCTCCACACACGGAATCAGTTTAGCATTTCGTCGTCATCGTCGTCGTCGGCATCGTCGTCGTTCTATTCATCCCCGGAAATGGCGGCTATGCCGTCTCCCAAGGAAAAAGTCCAACAGCTACAGAAGTTGCCAATTTATCCCATGACCCCCCGTCATAGCAGTCCGAAGAAACCATCCGTCTCAACCCCTGCTTCATCTCCGGTGAAAGCAAAGCTGTCTCCTCGCATTGCAACCATCGACAGCCTCAACCTGGATAACCGAGTGCAGGCGTCGATCAAAGAAACCGGTATCACCATCGATGAGATCGCCTCGTACATTCATGGTCCAGACCCTGAGGATGGCAAGTGGGTGTGTCTGCACCCTGGCTGTGAGAGAAGATTTGGCCGGAAGGAAAACATTAAATCGCACGTCCAAACTCACCTGGGTGACCGCCAGTACAAATGCGACCATTGTAACAAGTGTTTCGTCCGAGGACACGACCTGAAGCGGCACGCAAAGATTCACACTGGGGACAAGCCCTATGAGTGTCTCTGCGGAAATGTCTTCGCCAGACACGATGCGTTGACTCGCCACAGACAGCGAGGAATGTGCATCGGCGGATACAAGGGAATTGTGCGGAAGACCACCAAGCGTGGCCGTCCCAAGAAGCAGAGACCTGAACTGGAAGAAAGGCAGGAAAAGGCATCTCGTACACGTCAGAAAGTCGCTGCAAAGTCCTCCTCCGTTTCTGTGACTGGATCTGACTCGTCACACAATTCACCGCCTTCCGACATCTTCGACAGCATGAGTATCCGGTGCTCAAGCCCGTTTGAGGATGCTCCCGCCTTCCATGCCCCTGATTACTCAATCCAGCCGGGTGTATTGACATTCACTCCACCTGCTTCTCCTCACGCCAGCACCAGTGCCAGGTCCTCGGCTTCCAAAAGCGATCGTTCTCTCACGCCTGGCACCGAAGATGGACTCCCATCCCTGCCTACGTCTGGTCGAGCTCTAGAAAAGATCCTCGAAGAGCCCACCTTTAACATGATTGAGCCGATCTCTTTCATGGACAACGACGCAATCATGTCTTCGAGTTCTCACACCATGTCTTCGCCTCCTAGTGCCCCAACCCTCACCGATTCATCTATTGGATCTGAGCTTGACGTCTTCATCAGCCAGGAGGCCCCGACGGACTTCGACAAGCACGATCTCGGCCTTCAGAGCCCTGACATGGCCCACTTCCCTGACTATGTCACCGTGCCAGGATTTGATACCGGTCTGAATCTATTCTATGGCAAGTCATTCTCGACCAATGAGTCTGCTGCATCGGACGAATTCTTCTCCTTCCAGTTCCAGGCAGACGAACAGCCCACGGATATCTTTTTCCATTGATTGACGACCTCGATGAAACTCCTTCCTGACGACGATAATGATGCTTACCAATGTGCGCAATGCAAATGACTGATTTCCATGATTACGAAACACCCTCTCCGTACGACGACGACTTTCTATGTACCAACTTCGAGACGATAAATTGCGTGCTTTCTCTGACCAACGATTTTACGATCGACAAATATGACTGATCAAAAACCTGCAACTCGCTTTATTCTGTTTTTTTTCCCATGCTTTCCTTTTTTTATTTCCGGGGTCTACTTTTTTTTTCTCTGATTTTGTCAATATGCCGTGGTTCTATTTTCAACATATTTTTCCCGGCACCTAAACCTCTCTGCTGGTTGATTTTGTTTTCGGCGCATGAAAAAAGAAATCTGTACTCACACTTGTACCTGCACTCTTGCTCTGGGTCATACGAGGAGTTGGACGGATATCTTAATTGTTCTCATCTGCTCATTTGATTTGATTTTTTATCTCATTTTTGCCTCTCCTTTGTCTGTAATGACCTCATGCCCTTCCATGTCGCGCTTCGAAGATCATTGTCTCCATATTCAATGAATCTATTTGATAGCCATACTTTGCCTCCTTTTCCTCTTCCACCTCTCTCCCATTTTTTTTCTTCTTCTTTTCTCTCGCTCCTAGACACTTAATCCCTTAGTGGTGTTTCCATAACTTGTACTCTAGCTCCCTAGCAATCCAATCCTTGCCGACTAACCGCATCTTTATATATATATGTGTGTGTATGTCTTAATAATATCATTCAATTGCGTAGTCCCGAGGTAATTGAACTCCCAGAATCGTCTAAGCAGTGGCTGTAGAATACACAACCTGACTTTATGGCTCAATCTATGCGTCTTCTCTATAACCCGCCGTCCAGCTTGTCAGTCTAAAACCCAACCAACTTGATCTCTAATTCAATCTGATGCTCATCTTGGGCTGCAAAGATCTTGCTCTTGGTAGCACCTTTCGGTGCCTTGTCCGCGAAGAAAGTAGTATTGCCTTGGTAGGAAAGCTTGCCGCTTTCAATCTGGAAAATCGTTTAGAGGACTTTCTCTGCAGGAAATGGAAAAATTTGAGGGAAAACTTACGCTGAAGGTGCTTGGACTGGTGACAAGAGGTCCGCATTCGAAGATGTTCTGCTCAAAGGTACATGGACCTTTACTTGAACTCAAAGCGAATGTGTCATCTACCAAATTGGAGAGTTAGGATATTTGCACAAGTGTGATTGGGTATAGCAGCCGCCAGAATAATGACATACCATCGATCTTCTTGCTTCTAAACGTGGCACAAGTTCCGGACACGAACCATTCGCCCCGGCTGATTATGCAGCCACGTGCCTGGCCCATAGTCGACACTTTCAGATAGCCCTTATTGGTGGAGGGCGGCTCGGTACCTGTTGGGTTGGGATATCCGGGGCTCGTTCGAGAAGGTTCCTTCTTAGGCCGCTTGGGCTTGTAGCGGATGCCAGTTGCCGGGCAGTTTGATTTCATACCATCTGACAGGATAAGTTAGTGGTCTGACGGAACGGAATAGACACGGTGCCTGACCTGGCGCCGAAGGTACAAAATCTCCGGTTTGCAGAGGGCCGGCGATGTTAAAATGATACCATATCTCATTCAGCGCGCCATAACGACACCGGACCGTGACCTCGGCACCGTGGCCCTTCTGCAAAGCGTTCGCAATGTCAGCAAGAGCGTAAGTATCGCTGTTAGATGGGACGATGCCGGCATTGGCGAGAAACTAGTGTTCATTAGTCCACCGACTATCGGACCTACAGGACACTTCCAAGACAAACCTCGTAAGACGGCAGCTTTTCGAATATCTCGACTGTCTTGTTGAAGTAATCCACTACTTCTTCCTGGGGCAAGTAATCGGAGTAGCACTTGGTTTCCAAAGTACTGATACAAGTTCCATGCTTATTCCATTCGTGTTCATAAAGCGAATTGTCGTCACCACGGAAATCCTTCCAAAACTTCCCCATGTAGTCAAGGAGATCTCCTCGACCAGCGTCAATTAGTATGAGTGATATGTTGCTGTATTGTCTCTTCGAATCACAGTACTGATCAAACCCCCCATCACAGTGATCTGGCCTGAAGTTTCATGAAGTCAGAGTTCAAGTTCAGTGGAAGGGTCTATTGCATATCTCCCTGTCTCGCTTTATGAACTCACCAGAGCCCGTGAATCGTCCAGGAATCATCCGGTCCAATGGCAGGGTCGGCATCCCAAAATTGAGTCAGGAGCATCTGTCCACCAGGATAATTAAAGCAGCAAAGGTTCTGTCCATCGTATTTGGTCTGGCAGCTGAGATCTGCTCTATTGCATGCCGAGTATCCGTGGGGTGAGGTCTGGAGCTCTGATAAGGCGGACAGCCCCAGAGAGCTGGTTAGCGCCTTCAGGATCCTCTGAGGCCCAGGAACTTTGCTCATTGCTGACATGGCATCAAGTATAGAAAAAAGATCACAGGTATTACTCTTGGTTCAGCTGTATGAAGTAGGCAGTTGAGGTTGATTGCATTCAGGTGACGTCTCAATTGTTGTCATCAGGAGAGACTCATAGTTGCCTCCACGTGAGTACCGCGTCACCCGTTTAGGCGTAGCTTGCAGGCAGTTCCCTTACTTGGAAGGCGCTAGTTATTGATGACTAATAAGGGCATTTCGTCTGGTCTACAAAGTGCTTCAGATAGTTAACCTTGAGTAGTTATAGTATGCTGGACTACATATTTCTGGTTGTTTCTATATTCCATATGCAAGATTGGAGGGTATCTCAAATGATAATACAAAATGCGGTTCGACCAAATTCGCCGAAAATAGCCAGCCAAGTATATACGTTTCCCCATCACTCATGAAGCTGTTCTTTTTGAGGACTGTCTTCATGCATTCGCTCCTTCCAAAGCCTAAGGACTTCGAAGCCGACTTCCACAGCAATAAGAAGAATGATGATCCACTCGAGTCGAAGGCCATGTTTCTCGCTCAGTCTCTCGCGGAGCACGCTAGCTATCTCTTGCGCGTAGTCCATCTTTTCGTTTAGGAGTTTTATCCGAATCCCGACATCCAAAGCTCGTCCGGCTTGTTCGTAATAACCTTCTAAACCGAGGTCGTGTCGACTATCCCAGAAGATATCCGGCAGCGAGTCCGTGAGCTCTGAATAGAGGTTCAATTGCGCACGTACGCTGAGAAGTTGGCCTGTCTTGCGAAGGATAAAGTCTCGCGTGAAAGGAAGACGAGCGCCTCTGGACATAAGTGTAGGGATAGCTCTGGTAGACTCGAAATAGTCCGACAGGAGACGTTCAAGCACGGCAAGCTTCGTACTGCGTGCTAACCCAGAGGAGAAAGCGACCTTTGTCAACACAGTGTCCACGGATTGCCGCGGCCGGGACAATAGTCCTGGATCCTGAGAAGCCTCCGAAAGTGTACCAAGGATGATTGTATCGCCCTTGATACTACTGTTGTCCCGCTGCAAGTCTTCCACATATTCAAGGTCCTCTGTCTCCACGTCATCAACATGGGCGCCTTCGGCCGCGGGCAACAATGTCCTTGTTGCCAGGAACGACGTGAATCCTTCCGGAAGCGACCACGCCACCACCGTACCCGAAGGGAAAACAAAAACGTCTCCGACCTCGTCCGCGGACAAGTCTGTTGCTGCGGGGTTGCTCACCCGACGAATCGAGTCCAGGGGCACTTGTATATGGACAACTTGTGGGTATAGACCAGTTTCGAACGGGTCTGGCTCGTAACCTTTCTCCTGAAGGATCTCTCTGACTTTGCGGATGTCGAATTGCTCAGCTACAGCGTACGCAGTCACTGTTTTCTTTCGGTAGCACCACGGTGTTAGCAAAGAATCGAGACGCTGCGAAAAAGAGTCATATTCGGCTACCTTCAATTGATATATTCCATTATCCTTCAATTGTGATCTAGACAAGAACCCATCCTTTGATCGTTGAGCCTCCACTGCAACTCTTCGCAAGGATGTCGGTGCTGCAGGGCCTCTCCCGGCTCTCCTCCGCTGCTTCTGCGATTCACCCACGGAATCTGCATTATTCTCTGGTGGAGAATTTTTCTGGCTCAAGTAGGCATTGGAAGAAAAGAAGTCCTTTCGTCGCGGAAGATGAAGTGACGACGACGCATGAATATAATGATTTTGCGGCCGCCTCACTAGTCGAAAAACCGAGGGCCGTCTGCACGCCGAGCAGATATATTGAGTCGTAAACATCGTGGAGGAAATCTAGCAATTCGTAGCACCAATTCGTCTGTCCAAACCGAGACCGAACCCTCTGACTCGTGTAAGAGGCGGGCCAAAGTCGTTGACAGCTTTGGATCTTCAGACGGAGGCCAAGCCAGGCCCGCTTAGTCATGATGGCGCCCCAACCCAACGAGCTGCCGCATATCAACCCCAGGTATGACATAGCCCTGCGTCGCCGAGCTTGATCGCTTGGGACACGCAAGACTCTGGCCATGGACGCGCCTGGCGCGACAGAGGTGGAGAGCGCCAGCCAAGCCCACTTGGAGCAGCAGGGAACATCAACAGTGCAGGCCACCAATGACGAACACGAGCAGCGCGATGAGTCGACCCAGGGTGGACCGGGCAGCGGCGACGAGGGTGGCGAGCAGCACAGCTCTGAAGACGACGATGAGGGAGGAGATGACGGAGAACAGGATGATAACGACGATGAAGAGGAAGAGGAGGAAGAGGAGGAAGAGGAACCAAAGCTCAAATATGCATATCTGACGAAACAGATCGGGTCTGTTTACCGCAATGGAGACGCCACGAGCTCGTTTCTTACCGTGGGGGACAAGATGGTATGCAAGCCCATAACGAACCCCAATAGTGATACGAACTAAACGGAAACGGTTTTATAAAGATCATTGGGACACATAATGGGAACATCGTAAGCTTTTTCTGATGAATTGTGAGACACTTGGTGTTCGTGGGCTCAACTCTCCATTCTACAGCATGTCTTATCACTGCCGCAATTGCAGCCGGTACGCGTCTATCATGCACACTCAGCGAGCGTGACGTCTATATCTGTGTCGCCGTTCCCTCTTCCCGTGTCTACTGTCAAGATCGATGCCATCGCTCGGCTCTCTGCCGATGACCGTGGCTCAATCCGGTCCTCATCGAGCTCCTTTGTTTCTCGCAGTGCCCAACCAAAGGGTTATCAGGGAGCAGCTCTTGTTTCCACCGGTTCCAACGCCATACACATTGCTACCTCATCGATTGATGGAAACGTTTGTGTGGCCTCGTTAACGGATCCGAGAGATGTTCTTCTCCGGAATTTCGGACGACCAGTCCAAGCTGTTGCGCTTTCTCCCGAGTATAAACAGGATAAATCATTCTTGTCGGGCGGTCGGGCTGGGGATCTCATACTTACGACCGGTGGCCGTGTGGGTACGACTACGAACTCGACAACGATGGGAGGTGCAGCGGCTACCGCTTCCAGCTGGCTGGGTTCCATTGGGCTGGGGGGAAACAATGGGAAGGATACAATTCTGCACAGTGGAGAAGGCGCGATCAGTACAATTAAATGGTCTCTCTCGGGCAAATACGTTGTCTGGGTCAATGAGGAAGGGATTAAGCTTATGCGGTCAAACCTACATCTCGACTCCGCAGACTTGGATCTCGCGTGGAAACGAGTCAGTCACATAGATCGACCGAACAGTACTGGATGGGAAGAGATGGCCGGGGTCTGGAAAGCAAGGGCAGAGTGGATCGATATGACCTCTCTCGACAAGGACGACGGCTCTCCGCCGACGGGAAACTCATCAAGAGAGACACTGTCCCAGCTACTTCCCACAGCAGAGAGCACAGAGAAACTCGTAGTGGGATGGGGTGGAACCGTCTGGGTCATTAATGTTTTCCCCGATCGCCCAAATAAGAATGCCAAAGAACCGAGACTGGGCTCTGCGGAGGTTGCAGCCATGTATGTTGGTCTTGATACCGGTGAAAATTTATGCTTACTGACTGGCTTTCCAACACTAGTTTACGCACCGACTGCATTATATCCGGCATTTCAATGTATACGCCCAGTCTTCTCATGGTCCTCGCTTACATTGAGGACGACGAGAGCTCTCGACGTGGAAACCGCCGACAAAAGGGCCTGGAGCCTGAACTCCGTATCATCAATATTGAGACTAAAGAAGAAGTCAGTGCTGATACGCTTGCGGTCAGCCGATATGAGAACCTCGCGCCATCAGATTACCACATGAGCGTCTTGCCTCCATTCAAGACCCCAATAAATATCGCACAACGAGGTGCGCTGGGAGCTCTAGGAAATGGCCTCTGGGATGCGACTATGTACCCGGCCCGGCTCTTCAGCTCTGGCGCTAGCATTCGCAGCAACACAAGTGGAAGTCGGGAGAGAGGTTCTAGTAAAGCTCCCAGCTCATTCGCATCTAGACGCCTCTCAAACGATGAGCTACTGCCGAAAGAAATCAGGGATGCTGCGAATGCAGAAGGCACAAAAATATTTATCCACAGCCCATACGACTGTGTTGTTGCAGTGAAACGAGACCTTTCAGATCGGTTAGCGTGGCTGGATTCCCATGGTCAGTATGAGGAGGCGTGGAAGCTCCTTGACGAGCATCCAGAGGCGGCTGGATCTACGAGCGAGTATAACGATGCTCTATTTGATGAACCGACAGGATCTCAAGACAGTCTCGGCGAATTTTTCGCAGATGAAAGATCATCGGTCACCACCATCGGACGAAATGTGAATACGGTTGCCGAGCAGGAGAAACGCAGGATCGGCGAAAAATGGATTGACCAGCTCATTAAGGGGGGGGAATGGGACGAAGCAGCGGAGACCTGTTGCCGGGTTCTGCAGACGGGTACCAGATGGGACCATTGGGCCTGGGTCTTTATAAAGGCTCAGAAATTCGCCGAGATCACCACACATATTCCCACGGACCTCCACCCGCCGTTGTCTTCTCAGATCTATGAAGTCATTCTTGGACACTACGTTACTCGAGACCCAGCGCGACTCAAAGAACTACTTGATACATGGCCGCTGGACCTTTTCGATGTCGACGGGGTTACTGTGGCGATCGAGGACCACATCCGGTCGAACGAAATCGCCTCCGAATCAGATGATTGGCGTTTACTGATGGAGAGTCTCGCCAAGCTCTTTCTCGCAGCAGGCCATTATCGCGAAGCTTTGCGTTGCTATATTCATCTCCAAGATGGGGATGCCGCGATGTCCCTCATCCGCGAACATCGCTTAGTAGATGCCGTTTCCGACGACATCCCTGCGTTCATATCCATCCGCGTTTCCAAGCAGCAAATCAAGTCGGCGCCAATCACAGAACTTGAAGAGATCACAGCCGAGCCGATCAAGCTGCTCGTGGGCGAAGCTTACACGGGCATCGTTCCCCCGCAGACAGTAGTCAGCCAACTCCAAGCTGCCAACCGATTGGTCTTTTTATACTTCTATCTGCGTGCGCTTTGGCGAGGAGAGTCGCTTTTTCACGAGGGTGTCAAACTTCGTCGAGGTCGCGGTGTCCATCGAGACGCAGCTAATAGGCTTGCCGCAGACGAAGGCAAGGCGTTGATCGATCCGTTTGCCGACACGGCTGTGGAGCTTTTTGCAGAGTATGACCGCACCCTCTTGATGGAATTCCTGCAGATCAGCACCTCGTATGCCTTTGACAGCGCCACGGCGATTTGTGAACAGCGTCGATATACGCCGGAGCTGATCTACCTCTTGTCCAAGATGGGCCAGACGAAGAAGGCACTAAATCTCATCCTTTCCGATCTGCAAGACGTCTCACAAGCCATCTCCTTTGCCAAATCCCAGAACGACCCGGATCTATGGGAAGACCTCCTGGACTATTCCATGGACAAGCCCCGGTTCATCCACGGGCTTCTGGTGGAAGGGGGCACGGCCATCGACCCCATCAAGCTCGTCCGACGTATCCCCAGCGGGCTCGAGATCGAAGGGCTACGAGAGGGTCTGACCCGCATGATCCGCGAACATGACCTCCAAGCCAGCATCAGCCAAGGGGCAGCCAAAGTCCTGCAAAGCGAGGTTGCGCTCGGGATGGACTCTCTGCGTCGGGGCCAGAGACGAGGCATCAAATTCAACATTGCCGAGCCCACCAACAGAGAAGAGAAGGACAAGGACAAGGACAAGAGCAAGGACCCGTTAATCCCCACCGAAACGACCAAACCGTCCGGTCTTCAACCTGGTTGCTGTGGAGGCTGCCACGCCCCATTCCAAGCAAATGGTAAGTAATATATCTCACCATCTTCTTTCCTATTCGCATGACAGAAGCTTACATGCCTTTCTTTTCTAGAAAAAGAAATCCTGGTAGGCTTCGCCTGCGGCCACGTCTTTCACCTCTCCCACCTCCACCCGCCGCCCTCATCCCAGCTACCCTCGTCCCGGTCCTCCCCGCCGCCCACCCGCACCCCAACGGCAGATACATACCTGGCCTCCACGTCGCGAACGGTCGGGCCAAAAGTCATCACGGCGCGGCTGCTGCGCGACCGGGTCGGCGAGGGGTGCCGGATCTGCGCCTTGGGCAAGAAGATTGAGGCCCTGGGCGAATCGGATAGATAGGAGGGAGTAACATTTACCTACATGGGATAATTTCCCCCGGAGTTATACTGGACCGGAACGAAGTATTTTCTCTTACCGTGCAGCCCCTCCCATTAATGTACACACACACGCATTTTAATCCGCAGGGTTCATCAAGGCGGTCTGGCCCAGCTCTCTAGCTTCTTGTAATGCCCAAATGACAGCATTGGAGAATATACAACGTGATTATCGGTCACCAAGTCTATTCGTCTACTCCAATGTCTTGATGGATGATCATATTTGTTTGAATTTTAGGAGATACCCAAGTCCAGTTGGCTTTGCAACAGTGAGAGAGAGAGAGGGAGAGAGAGAGAGGGACAGTAATGTATTGCAGTAATTACGGACGGATATTTCTCTAATTGATATTGTCAGAGTGAATTGTTTCCATGTTGTGAAGCTATCAAGCAGATACAGAAATATCAATGTTTTGAGAGCAACAAGCCATTGCCTTTACCATCAAATGAAATCGGAATGAACAGAAACATGTCACCACAATTCCCAGGCCAGCTAGAACCAGTAGGCAAGTCGCCATGAGAACACAATAAGTGTAGGCAAGCCATACCGGGGTGACAAGAGATGTGTCCGATCCTGCTTTACTTGTGTGGTTTCACAACAGAAGATATCCAGAAAGTCCAGCCAGCAAGGCCACCACAGAAGCTTTCACGCCCTGATGGTGAGAAGCATCATTGGGAGCGGAAGTGTGGGAGGGCTCGTGGGTGCTGCTGCTGGTACTGGTGGTGTGGGAGCCAGGAGCAGGCACTTCAGTCGTGGTGTGGGAGCTAGTAGGCACTTCAGTTGTGGTATGTGAGATAGTAGGCACTTCAGTGGTGGTGTGTGAGCTGGCGGTGGTATGGGTAGTCACTCCGTCCGCAGAAGATGAAGCCGATGAGGCAAAGCTTGCACTGGTGATGGAAGTGGAAGTGGAAGAAGCTCCTGAATGGCCCTCACTGGTTGTAATTGGGGCGACCGTGGACACAGTTGCGATATGGCCTGATGTCGAAGTCTCCTTGGACGCAGAGGTCTCACACACGGTGGTAGTGACAGTAATGACAGAAGCTAGGCAAGGTAAGAAAACTACCTTACGAACAGGGCAGGTTCGAACGGGATGATCTTACAGTCACGACGCACGAGGTTAATATTGACAGCGCGAGGCATTAGCAGCTCACCGTCAGGCTGGCCAACACCGGGCTCCACGAGGGACACAGTGTTGGACTCGTCGCCAAGGCCTGAGGGCATAAATGTGAGCCAGACTATGCTAGAGAAAGATAAGACTGCCAGGGTAGAAAGAGACACCTACCAGCAGAGAAGGCCAAAAGCACGGAGAGCCAGGTGAGCAAGAGGAACAAGATCCGAAGAGACATCTTGACGTTCATTTTGAACGTGGTGCAGCCGAATACGAAGTGTTGGAAGAAGAAGATTGAGATGCGAGCAGGCTGGAGACAGACGAGATGGATGACAGAGAGATTGAAGCCAGGAAGAGTGGAAGGGAAGAGAAGAGGAAGGGAAGAGAGAAGCCTGTGTGAGAGAGGGAAAGAAGGTGTTACCCAGGTGATTTCCAGTGAAAGAGGAAGGAGCATCCAAAAGAGGAAGGGCTACCTAGGGAATCACTCACACCAACATAGGAGGGTACCTATATAGTTTTCTAGCTATGTTATATATTTCTTAATGAAGTAGATGATAATACTATATGGATATAAGATAAACATCTATATTATTAGGTACGACGCAACCACCAATCTACCAAGGTGCAACTATATTAGTATAGTTGATATTTAGCTACTAGATAGTGAATATTTATATATAAGCTTATAAGATAACTAGTAGCCAGGCGTAAAATTAGGCAGGCTATCATAATCTAAATTCACTATACCTCTTATAGTGAGTATGCTATGCTGCCGAGATAATTAGTATATCTAGCTATTACTATAGAAACACCTATCAGCTTAAAACTCCTGTCTACATAACCATTAAGATATTCCTATAAGAATCTCTCCCTATCTGGTGAGGAGTATCCTAACCTAGACTCGACCTCGTGTCAGTGTCTAGAACCTGGCCAGTGGCAGAATATAGTGGTTCAATATAAGTATAACCACAACTCGACTGACATGACAGGATTCCACTAGCTAAGATACTACCTACCTAGTAGGTAATAGGCACCTAAGGTTTCATGATTTAACTATATGTTACTGGCAAACTATCCTGATGCTCTTGCAATCAACTATAATATTTTGTAGAAAACCGTTCTTGTAGACGCAGGTAGTGCGTGGAATAGATCTTGTATACAAGCCTATCCACCGCTAGACCGAGATCGAGATCAGATCGGTTCGATCCGGATCTAAACTGATGATCGAGTCAGACTACGTAGTACTCTAGATAATACCGATGGGTACTAGTTAACTACCGATGGTATAGGTAGGTAGGTAGTAGGTAACTACCAAAGTACTAATACGATCGTACATACGTACGGAGTACGGTATTGAAATACCCAACCATGTAGAGAGTGGTACTACTAACTACTGGTACGCTTCTCTAGCCGAGAGCGGGAAGTTATATTCCGTACTGTCCGTGCGTGAGGAACTGACTTCCACGGGATGTGGTTGGACAGTCTTGGAGGGGTAAAGGTTTACCAATATGAAAGGTACCTAACCTACCCTAGGTACGTAGTAACACAGTGGGTAGAGTTTACGAGTTTACTACTCCGTACCCTCATGGATCATCTCGGCAAAGTTTTTTATCTATTTATTTTTTCATTTTTTCCGATCCCGATCCGATGAATGGTTCCAGGGGGGGTGATCGGGAAATTTTCAACGGGGGAACTACTAATCCATACCTAAGGTACGGAGTACCATGGCGGACCCAAACAGTGGGAAGACGGTGGATCGACCTGGGGGCTGGACCTTGTGGAGCATCAACAACGGCCGGCACGAGCCGCTGCTATGACATAGTCGGTTATGTACATACTCCCTCATATATTACTACCTACCTAGGTAGGTACTCCGTGGTTACTTATTACAGTCTAGTTGAAGGTGTGAAATTAATATAAGACACTACAGTATACTACAGTACACTACATAGAAAACTAATTAAATCCTACTGTACTAGCTAGTCAATTGTTACTGACAGAGTAGGAAATAGTTGAGGTTGATCAGTGCCAGGAAAGGGGGGGGGCTGATGACATCATATCCATGTGTAGGCCGGGCTTACCCTATGCCACACACGGGCTAAAAAATGGCTGTGCATTAGTTTAGGTACGGAATCCACACTCCACAATACAGAGAGATAGTTGAAAGTCTACTACATACCTACCTAGTAACTAGTTACCTTGTTAGTTAGTTAACTAGTACCAAGTTAGTTATCTAAGTATCTACCGAGCCGTAATATACTGTATATACTAGTGTATGACTGTAAGGTATATAATACCACGTAGGCACTAGTATCATGGATTCTATTTCCTAGCCATCCACACTAATCGAAGCGACGTAGGCGGCTCACGTCTTGTATGGATTCTTCTAGAGGGGTCAAGGAACTAGTCAACTCCATAATTCATCATGCCGTGCCCTTCCTTTCAGTTATTGTCGGGTCTAGACCGCATCCTACATACAATGCACGGAGTATAGATCATCGTGTACCCCACCCACTCTTTACTCCCTTAGATAGTAACTAGTTAAGTATATACTCTGAACTAGGTAAAGAATCTTGATAGGTCATCGTGTATTTGTACCTATACTCATATCTGTAGTATATATTTCAATCCTTCCTATGTGGAGTCCTATGTTTCTTCTCTCTCACATTCTGGGCAGCATAAGTCCAGCAGTACAGCCCAGCAGCCAGCATTATCGAAGCACAGGAGCAGGAATAGAAAAGATAGTAATAAGAAAATGAAGAACAAAACCCCACGTCGAAGACAAGAAAAAGCTGTACAAGGGTATGTCATATATAGCCCAACACCAACAGTAACAGTCGACGGGATTGAAAAAAAAAAAAGAACATTGGTATATAAGTGAATTGCTCGTCCCGACTCGTGTATCGCATGCGTCGCAAGAAGTTAAAAAAAATAGGGAATAAATGGAGAAGATGCAAATAAAAAAGAAGAAGAACCGCCGTAATCATAATAGAACATGGTATCATTGCCCGGGGACTCGTGTATTGTCTCCGTATTCAACGCCCAAGAATAAGCCTAGCCTGTACCCGTATATCACAGTCATGTCGAAGATCGAAGAAAGAGAAAAAAGAAGAAAAAAAGAAATAAGTGTGGAGTATGGGGAGAGAAGAGAAAGATTAATACGTTAGCTTGATTTCGTAGCCCCTCGGCTCGGTATGTTTTGCAGCAGAAGCCTCGGAGAACTCAGCCACCATGTCCTGACCATCTGGCAGCTCACGAACCACGTCGTCATCGACCATGATCCGCAGCCCGCGCTGGTTGACATGCAGGACGCGACTGACTCGATCGGGGTCGATCTTCTGTTTCTCCGAGATCTTGTCCATTAGGTCGCGTACCGTCCGCTCAGTCAGGTATATCGCTCGGTAGTAGTCGTCCTGCTTGTCGTCACCGGGGAAGCGAACATAAAAACAGGCAACTATTCAATTAGTAAGAGAGAAATATATATATATATATATATATATAGAGGTGGACATACTTGGTTTTGGGTCACATTCGGCGGGCGGGCGGTACGTCGGATCAATGTCGATAGCCTCAATGTATCCCGTGGAGAGCTTTGAGTTACCCGCATGTTTTTGGACCTTGGTAGGATGGCTCAAGAGCAAGCGGTCGCTAGGCTGTTCGGACCACGCCTGCCGGCAGTTTGATGGGTTGATGAGGCTCTCCTGCGACCCATTGTAGCCGGAATCGTACTGCGAGCCGGGCAGTTGCCGACGCGGTGAGTTGACCGACGTGCTGCTATTCGAGGGGGACAGCATGGACGCGGTCGAGCCCGCGTCGATACTGGGTCGCGAGTCAAAAGTGTTGGTACGAGTGAGGGGCTCCAGCTGCGGCTGCTGATCGCCGGGTAGGTAGACAGGGTAGAGGTCCGGGTCGTCGTGGTCCTCACCGCGCAGGCCGAAGACGCTCAGGGGGCGGGTGGAGGTGAACATGTCCTGCATCATGGCAAGTTTCGAGTGCAGGTCGTCCTCAAGGCACGTCTTGTCCGCCCCTTCGCTCTGCGAGTCCATCGACCAGGTACGCCTGTGGTGCTGCTTGGCCATCTTAATCGGCCGGTCGTCGGTGGGTTTAAGCGCGACGGCCGTACTGCCGCGTTTCCGCTTGCCAAAATTACCGCCGCCCAACTCCGCCTGGGCGATCTGCTGCTTCAGTTTCTCGATAGCCTTCTTGACGTGGGCAATGTCATTGGACAGCTTGCGCTCGGCGCCGTGGTCCCGGAAAAGCTTGACTTTACAGTAACTTAGCTCTACTGCAGGGTCCGCCGCGCCACCAGGGTCACCGGCGTCTGGCGAGAGCAGTTCGGTTTTGGCGCAGAGCCGGACGGGGATCCCCTTCACGCCCTTGGAATGACTAAAGTCGGTGGAGAGAAAGTTGAACCGCACCGAGACCGAGCAGTCCGAGGCGCCGGTCATCGAGTTGGGACTCCATGTGATGCAAAAACCGTCCAACGAAGCCTTCTCCAGCTGGACCTGACGGCGTTTCTGATCGTCGTCGCCGCCCTGGACGGGATCCACATATTCCACTGCGAGGAGCTTGCCGCCCCGCTGATGCGCCTCGTTCGAGCCTCGGCCTTCTTTCCATAATTGCCAGCACGCGGCGGGTTTCGACCGCTGCTCAGCCTCCTCAAAGGACACACGGATATATGTCCGATACCGGACGGGCTGCGACGCAGCCACAGGGAGTGGCGGCGGCGCCAGGTCGATGACCGAAAGCAAGTATGCTTGGCCTTTGTTGAGGTATGTGATGGGAATCTCTGCGGGATGCTTGATCATTGCGGTCGGGGCGCGCAGGGTCACATTGAACCGAAATCTGTCACAAAAAATTGTTAGGTATTGGAAACCAAACGAGAAACCAAACACTCCTCTCCTGAGACATGATTTACCTCTCTCCCTCCAGTCCAGAGATATCTGTGCGATCAACAAATGCACTGGTCGCCGGGGTAAACTGTGCCGTAGGATTGACATGGAGATCCATCTCATTCAGCGACGACTCGTCGCACGAGGGATCCATCGGGTCGTAGCACGAATCGCGATGGTGCAGGAATGCACTCGGCGCGTACGAAGGCTGCTGGGCGAAGGGATTGATGTTCTGGAACGGCTGCTGGGCAAATTGGGGACTGAAATGGTTCTCCAGCCCCATGTGGCCGGCGCCATGACTGTGGTTCGACGATACGCTGGGAACATGGTGCGGCAACGACAGTGGCGTCATCATGTTCAATCCCAGGGTCGGCGTGTGCAGGTCGCCCGCCTGGCTGTGGAACACGGCTCCCAATCCCCCCGAATTCGGTGTGTAGTAGCCCGGCACCTGGTTTGCGAGCGGCATAAAGGCGTATGAGTTCGGATCTATGAACGACGGACTGAACCGAAGGTCTTGAGGGGCGCGGGGGGTCGGATCGTTCATCTTCACGTCTTCGTGGTCGATTCTGGGCCTCACAAGGTCAGCCGATTGGCCATTCTTTTCTAGAAATAGGCTTTGAAATATCCATTTCACACACACACCTTGTATTCGTCGCATCTACGCCTGGGTGGTGGTTGATCGGCCCTTCGTGGCCGTTCGCTCCCGGCGAATTCGTCGAGACAACATCCGGGAAAACCTTTCTAAATTTCGCAATAAGATCATCGTCTGGTTTCTGGGAGGTTTTTCTATTGGATAAGGAAAGGGGGGGAAAGACGCAGAGTCAGCGCGGGGACATACAGAGGAGGGGGAGGGGGGCAAAAACACACCTATTGCGAAACATATCAAGATCTCTTCGTCTCCAGAGCGAGACGGTTTTTTT